CAATAAAGTGTTCCAAAATAAAACCGCTGGCTCCAGCTAATGCACTAAAGCCGTTAGAAAAACCCATAAGAATAGGAGCATAACGAGGTGCAATATCGAAATGGTTTACATTAAATCCTGGAAAATATAAGTATTAAAAAAATATCGATGCTATAGAAGTTAGCCGACAATATTTAGAAATAAAAGTAAATTTTTAACACTAATACATCAACGATTATTAGGAAATACTATCACTGGTGAAATAAAATAACTAACCAGCAATTGCAAAACCACTGCAACCTGATGACATGACAAGTGTAGCTATGGCGATTGAAGGATCCGACATGAACGCCAAACAAGATAAAAAGATTGCTTCGCCAGCAAAACCTGAAGTTTTCTAAGCATCAGTTGCCGTTTTGAAATTTTAATAGCCCACTTCAAGACAAAATTTTTCTACATTAGTAACTACATAGAATTAGGTTCATAGATGCAGAAAAATTACGATTTACATACCAAAAGAATTGAACATTTTTCTGACTGCTGTTGTCGACATTTTACCGGTTGAACGTAAGTAATCGGCTATTTGGCCAGAGCTCAAAACTACGATCGACATCAAAACATGTGGAAGTGACGAAATAAGCCCTCCCTAAATGTCTTTGTTGGGTCAAATTGTTTGTCAACTTTTTCTTAATTAAGTGAATGTTGCTCAATTATTGTGAATTGTAAATTAATTAAAAATTTAAAAAAACGGTTGAATGATTTACGTTATGAATTTCCAGGTGAAGTATGTCGCTCATGTACGTCAACTGATTGCCAAGCAACAAGAAGAATGTCCATGATCGGCAGAAACTACATATCACTATTGCCCAGACTGGCATCGATAAGAATATCTTCTTCCATGGTATTGTTGTCAACTGTAAAAGCATTATTAACATTTACTGAATTATTTATGTGAATAATTATTGGTAAAATCAACACTTTTATAAGCTTATTTCATTCCTATTTGAAAGTAAATTTTCAGGATATTTTTTTTTTTGAAAACAAAAACGTTGGCAAAAGTAGCAACAGTAACACAGTTACAAAGAGCAATGGTGAAAAGAGAATAATTCATGTGATTTTGGCACAAAACAACGAACAGTAAATATTTCATACAGTAAACATTACCGTAGCAGGTGATGAAGCCACTTGACCAACTTGTTCAACAATGTAGTTTCGTTCTTCTTCAGAAATATTCTTACATTTTTCAGGTGTTGCTCCGGATATTTTAAACCAAAATAACGCCCACAATATGCCCGCAACCCCTAAATCATTTTACTTTTATCATAACTGCTTTGAATATCAAATATAGGCTATGTTCCCTTTTCCTCCCTTAACACCACAACAACAAAATCAGTTGCTATTACTGCTTACGAAGAAATTATATACCAAACATAAGTGAAGAAAAAAAGACCTACCAAAAAAGTGGAACGGCGCTGACCAGTCTATGTATGATACCAAATATGCGGATAATGGCAAGCCAAGCATAACACCTAGATAACCGCCGGTAAACGTTGTGGTTGCAAGTTTAGACCGTTCCATTGGAGGTGCCCAATGTCTCCATACACCGTGCATTGCCGGATAACTAACTCCCTGAACATATCCATGAAAAATGTACCAGCTGCTATTTATTACTGCTATAACTCAGTAAATCTTCAATTGATACCTGTCTTATCTTCTGATATTGAACAAAAACAGTTAAAAATTACCAATTAGTGAAAACTTACCAGTGATAATCCCTGACACACTTGAATTGCCATTACTGCATAATCGGTAAATGGATGCGCTTCCAGTGTTACTGCTAATATTATATTTAATATTGCAGCAATTAATATTGATAAGCCAAATAATCTGTAAATTATTGCTTCATTAGTAAAAAAAACATGCTGTTATTGTTGTCTTACAAAACCGATAAACGATGTCAGTTTCTATTCGTTTTATAGTTGTTTGTAATTTATAAACAATTTTTTCTATTAAAAAACGTAAAAATTAAATTACTAAACATCAAAAAGGTACAAACTGTTAATTTAGATTTTTAACCAAAATGTTTTAAAAAAATTACTGAAAAAAGTAATAAATTACCTGTTAGGTGCAAATTTTGCAGCTAACATCCCACCAGGTATTTGAGTGAGTGCATAACCATAAAAAAATGAACTCTCCATTAAACCCAATTCTGTCGGAGTCCAAAAGAAGCGTTGGGTCTAAAGAAGCCAGTTTGAAATTTGAAGAGGAAAAGACCAAAAATTGTTGGTAGCTGCAGTTGACTATTCATTTAAAACTTACAAAATTATTTCCAAACGGATCCGTAAAATTGTTAATCATTCGGCCTTTAGCTGCACCAAAATTGCAGCGTATACCAAATGCAATAATAAATCCAATGTTGGCCATAATGGCGATTTGCCATCGTTTCTTTGACAAAAAACATTTACCCTAAAAGCTTATTTCTTCATACGCTGTAGACCGACTTAAGTGTCAGTTAAATTGAAGCAATTAGGCTATATTTCAGTCCATGTTCAATAAAAATTTTTGAGAGAAGCAGTAGGTGTGAAAGTCTGCAATAAACTAACTTTGCTTTCTCTGATACTGTGAAGCTGCTCGACATTTTCTGTTTTTCGTCTTCTGATAACACTAAAATTGTTTTATTTAATCAAACATCAACTAAATAAATTTAAATCAAAAAAAATTTTTACAATTTTTTACATTCTCAAGAAGGCGAAAAAAAATAAGTGTTTAGAGCCAACCTTCTTACTCTGTCTGCTAAAGTATCTGGAGCAGTTTTGATAAATTCTATTAAATTATGTTTTCCACTGGAAAACGCCGTCTTGATTTTGCTGGCCGCATCCTGAAATTTTCTGCAAAATATACTTCTTCTTAATACCAGTTTCTACAGATTTTTTTT